GGTTTAGGTGTGGTGAGTGTGTGAGGGAATCATGTGATAATTGGTTAGAATTATGAGGGAAAAGCAAGGCGAGGAATGTGTGACTTGGGGTGAGTGATTCGTGTGGGCTTTTTGTGATGATAATGAGTGAAAATTTTGCAACGTTTGTTAGAAAGTTTTTTGAATTTGATGTATGTATGAGTATGCATTATGATGGTGATATGTGAAGCTTGTAAAGTTAGAAAGATTTTGTATTATAAAGTTAGTTAGTGGTGGTGAAAGAAAGCTTGTACGTGATTTGTTGTACTTTTTTATGTAAATGTATGGTATGTGATGGCGATGTAGAATGAAAGATATTTGTGTTTTTTTTTTCTCTTGTGCCATTTTATTAACTTTGTAATGACTTGTGAAAAATGAAAATAAGAAGACTTGATGATGTATGTATGATAGTGTATGTATTTGGATGATATCAAAATAAGATATTCTTATGAGTTTTTTTGCAATTTTTTGTTCTTTGTGTAAAATTAGAAACTTAATGGAAAAACAATGTATATGGTTTATGATACATTCTTTTAATTTTGTAAAACAATGCACGTGATAAAAAGTAAAATAAATAAGGTAGTATTTTTAAATTGGTAATAAAATGTGAAAAGTGCAATGGTCCTTAAAAATTAAAATGAAGAGATTATTTTTAAAGCAATGCAAATATGCAAAAATGTGAAATATAATGATTTATTCTAGGTTGACAAAAAATGCAAATATACAAGCATGGTCAAATGAAATGGAAAGTCACAGACAAAATTAGGGTACAACAAGAACGACTTCTGATTCATACGATTTTCACGATTTTGCGATAGATATCTGATTATTTAGTTTGTAACCTTATAGGATCACCAAATTAAGAGCAATAAAGATCTAATACAAAGATCAGGTGTGTTTGATCCAATAAATTATCGTTTTCAACTATTATTCCCTAGGGAACTCTGCGAATCAACAGAAAGAAAGATCTTAGATCCAGATCCATACCTACTCTAAAATTACCAGAGAACGGAGGAAATTTCCATCAAGATCATGCTGAAGATTTCCAATCAACCTTCCGATCTAGCATTACTTCGATTTCCCACCAAAGACATTATACTTACAGTGGTGACTATAAAGATACGACGAGTTCATAGCTAATGTTGGTATAGATTTGGTACCAAAATACCTTCTTTAGGTACCAAAGGATCTCCGAATAATGAACAAAGATCTCCTCAGGCCAGATCTGATAGATCATGAAGAAACTTGTGTTACAACCAAGGTACCATATCCGCTATACCTTATCCCTATTACTTATGCTTGAAGAGCGGTTGATTTTTGGGGCGACCTTCTAGTAAAATTCCTTTTCTGTATGAATTTCGAGCGTTATATCCAGAAGTAAAGACATTTTAGTGCAAATACGGTTGAAGAACGAGGATATTAAACAAACTACAACTACGAACTACCCAGTAATGGCAACAGTTTCCATTGACGCCAAAGTTTGTACGTGATAACTCATAAGCAAAGTTCACTAAGTGGAAACACTCTGTTTAAAATAGCCAAAACACTAGATCCCCAGGGTCGGGCCAACAAGATAATAGAGTTCCTTTGAATACACTTATAAAAACGACACCATTGACTTTGGCAGTAAGGAAGTCACATTTCCTCAAAGACACCTCCAGTTGATGGTTATCTCTGATATCTCCCCCATTGTCGTTGTCCCTTAGAGAGAATGTCAGATGAAAAGAATGAGACAAGCTTCTTCCATAAAGGTCGTGGGGGATGATCCTCTGAAGGAACTTCTCCTTCATCCGACCATACTTTTGGCCCTAGGGAAATTCGACTGTCAACCCAAAGACAAGCTAAAACGGTGTTACAATTGAAGGTCTACTTATCTAGTCAATATGTTATTTCACTGTAACAAATTTACTTAATTATAAATACAAGTGTTTGTCTATCTTTTAATTTTTCCTCTATTGTATGTTGCATTGTCTATCTCTCTTTTAGAGTGTTAAAGGCATGGAAGATAAACACTGCGTGCGTTTCTGCGTATCTGATACAGATCACATACATTTTTGTGTAGCTGATACAAATAAAACACATTTCTACGACCCCTTAGGATCTAGCCAATCCAAGGGTGTTAGGCGATGGAGCCCGAAGATGCCCACCTTGTTCTGAGTCATACCTCGAGGGGAAGGGACAGTGATCATACCCTTGGCCAGGGAAATGTCCTCTATTTCACAAAACTGAATACGCCATAAATTAGTGGTTGCTAACTTCAGAAAAGAAATACACACTAAATTAGTAGACGCCAATTACAAAAAAAGAAACACAACAACCAAACATACTGACAAACAACTTTTAATGTACTAAGATGAAAATTACAATAGACCATCATTAAAAAATCCTAAAGGTTCATCACACCCCAAAACAAACAACATTTTTCAGGTGCCATGGCGCATACTCGTAGCTCACTGATGAACACCAACAATGCCCATGGGGTAAATAAAATTTACATTGCAGGGAAGACAAGCAAACCATGGCGCTATAATAACTCACAAACAACCAAAATGCATAATAACAACAATAATAAAATAGAGACAAATACAAGACTCAAAGCTAAATAATGCGCAATCCACTGAGGTAAAAATAATTTTATAAAATTTGATTGTTACATCCAAGGCACAATGGCCTAGAAAGTATTACAAGAAGAAAACAAAATAATAAAGAGAAGGAGTGAAGTAGTCAAGCCGAAGTTCCCGATGCTGAGGTATCAAGATCACCATCTGGAGTCCCCTCGGGAGCAGCTCGAAAGGGGTTTAACTCGTCAACAAGAATCAGGGCAGTAAGGAAAAGCCTCTTCACCTATTCCACGATAGGATCACGAACCTCATACACAGTTTGCATAGCCCATTGAAGGGAAACATGAAGCATCAACTTCAAGCTAGTAACCTCGTTTTTAAGAGTCTTTAGAGCCCTGACACGTGCATTGACCTCCCATTGAAGCATTATTTTGTCCTCCTCTACATGGCTGGTTATCTCAGTATCAACATCCAAAGCATCCTAAGACGTTTCTCCTCCACCACAAGAGTGACATCCAACTCAGTTACTAGGACAACAAGGGTAGAGAGAGTCATAAGTCTTCACATCCTCTTATAAAGAGTCAATATGAATGACCTTCTCTTACAGTTCAACCAACTCCTTATGGAAAGTGAAGTACCTTTACTCCATAGCTACACTTTTCCTCTTTCAAGTGTCTCTTACTTTGGAAGGGTTGTCAGCAGCTAGGACGTCTCATCTGCTAGCAGCTACACGAGAAAATAGATAAGAAACTCGATAATGTCGTGGGTAACCTCAGAGACGAGCTTTATCTTCTCCTTCTCAGAAAGATTTTAAATTATGGACATGTTTGACGTTCATACGGTAGTAGCATCCTCCTCAGGAGTTCAAGCAAGGCGAGACGAGAAAACATCAAGCATTTGTGGAAATTGAGTTACCTTCTTTGAATTATCATCCTTGGAGAGACGAGACTGTTTAGGATAACCCTCTTCCCATGGGATGGTTGGTCTTCACCCTAGTCCATCTCTATTGAAATAGTGGAAAAGGGTGCCTCCTCCTATATAGTCAAAGTGGTGTGTCATAAATAAGTTGTTCGACCTTGGTGGCAGTAGTAACGATCTTGGTGGTCGGAGCAAGAACAATGGTTTGAGGGGGTGACATCACAACCCGACCAAAAGACCCAACCTTGATACCTTGAGCACTGGTGAGGTCATAGGACATTCGCAACTTGTCCATGTTATTTGTAAAATATAATCGCATGAGTCATAAAAAAAGGTAATGAGGATGAGAATCGGGGGATGTCCCCGTTCTCGTAGTGGAAGAAGCATCGCTCTCAGAACTACTCACTAGGTTAACAGTATTATCACTCATCCTGAATAGGAAACATAAAATACTGAAGGTTGAAGCTTGGGTTAAGAAGGGTACCTGGGTATATGAGATTCACAAATTAACTGAACGAAGAAGGCATAAATTTCAATCAAGGAACTACTAGCGCTATAATAAACACTCTCAGGGATGAAAGGACAAATACATATGCTAATACAATGTATATGAATGAACTTGAATGTTGTGGATTATGAAAATTTTTTAAACGCTCAACTCCTCTTATTTTTAGGCAATGACAGTTAAATGATCCAGATTCGTGAAAGAGAGGAGTTATGAGATCAACGACTAGATTTCTCTTTGGGGGCACACGCAAACTCGAGTGCACTATAAGCTGAGTTACGCCCTACCTTGTCACGTCAACTCATGTGTTAAAAGCAAACCCTAAAACGTTCTAATGATGGGAACATATTAAATGTGTTTGTTCCCCACTAGTTTTTCAACTAACTTCAAGTTTCAGTTCTAGCTCCCATCGGACCACATCCTTCGAGGCCGACCAAAATCATCAAAGGATTTCTCGGCTCTCTTTGTGCCCGACAAAGCACTGGGAGCAATTGTTCTTGACTAACCAGAGACACAAATAGTCAATACCTAGTTCATCTTAAGTTCGCTCCACTTGACTAAAGGTATAAAAACGATTCACTCGAAAAAGCAAGGTACACACTCCATGATCTCTACTTTTCATGATAATCATCTTAAATCTTAAATTAACTTGAGTATTGAAGTGCTAACCATGCAAGTTCATCCTGCGTCTAGTAACGGAGATCAACATCAGTGGTTCAATATCCACATCTCACCACCTACGTCCAAATCACTATTCTTTTAAAATAAGTTTAAAAAAAATAGTAATATTGTAATTTATTTTTTATAATCGGTATCATTCCATTTTTTTTATCTTAAATGTTAGATTTAAAAAGAATTATAAATTAATTATATAAGTCAAATTGAGAGTTCAACCAAACTTTCATATTCATAATTGATAAAATCACAATTGACTTACTTCAAGTAAAACTTAAAATCACTTCCGAGTCTTGCTTGCCGTGTCGTCGTCGGCGGGAAAAATGTCGCGGACGATGGAGTGGGCGGCGAGAGCAGACCACCTCAGAGGCCTACCAAGAAAACTCGTAATAGCCACAATTGGTTCCTTCGCCAAAACGGTGGCATCTCTCATCAACACAACCTCCGTTCACAACGCCGACACTCTCCTCCGCCTCGTCCGCTCCAGACCCCAAGGCATTCCCCTCATCACGGTTAGCAATCACATGTCCACGTCAGTATCTTTCTCTACCTCTCTCTTTTACTCTTTTTGTTTAGATTTTTTTTAGTTTTACTGATAATTGGAACTGTTGTTGTAGTTTGGACGATCCTGTAATGTGGGGATTCAAGGGTTTTCCAATCTTTGATACAAACATAGCTCGTTGGGTTCTCGCCGCGGAAGATATCTGTTTCAGAAATCCCCTCTATTCCTATGTTTTTCGAACCGGTAAGCCTTTTCTTTGTAGCGTTTCTTATGGTAATTCACTTTTTTGAATGTTGCCAATGACACATTGCGGAAAATAAAGGTTTGTTCAAATTCTGATTTATTGCGGTGCTATAGCAATTAAATAGTTTATTTGAACTTATCTGATGATATAAACACTTCCATGAGTATTTCGTACAACTAATAGAATATGTTTAGTTTATCACATATCCATAATCTAGTTTCAACTTATTGTCACCGAGATAGTTTGTAAAAACAGTTTATATAAAACAATTCTTGGATTAGAAACAACTTATGCGGAAGTTCTTATATGATATAAGCTTATTGTATAAAGACTTAAATAAGTTGTTTATCAAAATGCGCTGTTTCTGGAAATGATCCAGAGGTGCGAAGCATGAGCGCAGCCTATAATTCGAGTCAAACCAGAGCTCGAGATAGTGGCCTGAAGCCAAGAAAGCAGCCATTGATCTTACTGAGTCCATGCGCAAAAGTTTGGGTTCTTAATCGCAGAACCAGTAGTTGCATCAGTAACGTACCCATCTGGAATTTCGCAATAGATTAGGAAGCTTTGAAGGTTGTGGGCATTCACAACCGGTTCAATTTGTTGGCGCCAAACGAGGAAATTCTTCTCATCAAGCTTTTCGGAAATCTTCAACTGGAAAGTAACGAGTTCCTGCTTGGAAGACGACTGCGATAGAGTAGGTGGTGGTTCTGTCAAAACCTGGCTCTATGATAGCATTTAAGAAATGGCAAATAAGATGTAGTAATGCATTCTAATATAATTTGCGAAATTCTGTTTTGATTAATAGAATGAGAACAAGTAGTTATAATTCTTACACTCACCAAAGGCCTAACATACACCCTTTGCAACTAATTGTAACTAACTCTAGGAAGAGGTAACAAAGGTGCCAGCTGGTACAGCTCTGAATAAATAGAAAGAATCTAGAAAGAAAAAATAAAGCTATGAAGGCCTTCTGTGTATTTTAGTATTAAATTTATTCCATTTTGCTTTGTGAAACAAAACATGAATTCATTGGAAGGTTAAAATGTAATGGTCTTTTGCTCTCGATTTTTTGTACTTGGTTTTCAGCTTATTGGTCTATGCATCGAAACATGCCGAAACAAATTCTATATTTTTTTGTAGATTATTATTGACTCTAAAATGGTAATGTGCACAGGGAAATGCATACCCATCACAAGAGGAGGTGGAATATATCAAGAGCACATGAATGAAGCGCTTGAGCGCTTAAATAATGGAGAATGGGTATCTATGTAACATTTAAAACCTTCTTCTCTCCACACAAGCATAACTTTTTTACGATGATAATTTGGGTAATTTATGTCATGTTTTGATTATTGTGACCCTTTAGTATTGCTAAGATCTTTTTCACTCTTGCTTTTTCTCAGTTGATGATGTTAAATGGATAACATATTACATTCTGAGTCTCGTTTTCTATTAGTAGCCAGAACATGAGATGTGATCCTAGACGGCATATAGTAGACACCTATTATTTCACGGGCAAAAGACTTGAAAGGAACGGTATACACAAAATGGCCTAAGAAAATGGTTGGGACGGGCCTAGTAGGAGCCAGTCATGTAATGGGTTGGGTAGCATCCAAAAGGTTTTAGAATGAAAATGGTTATTCAGGGGAGGTTTTTTAGAGTAGAAAGCAGATGATTCTCGTGCTATGCTGTAAGCTGAGGGCTGTGAACATTACAAGATCATTAGGTGTTTGATAATTGATTAAGAACAAAAGTTATAGAAAACTTGAATAACATTGCAGTGCTTTCATAGGTAAAATGAAATCAGATGCCACCGGTTTTCCACAATTGAGTCTCGTTAGCAATCATATCATCTTGCCTCGCTTTTTATTTTACGTTGAGTTAAATTCAATTGGATCTTTCAACTCTTTTCTTATATTGCCTAAATAACGCACACAAGATATTTTTGAAAACCAGTTCTTTCTAACTGATCCATGTGGGAAAAATATTTTCTGGTCATTTGTACTAAATTACTTTTTGGCAGGGAAAACACTTGATATCTCCATATGCAACTTTTATGGAGGTGCATATGGTAAATTGATATTTCACAACCAAAAGAGAACAAGTTTTAGAAATTTCTGAAACTATTGCTTTAATATGATTGATAGAGTTTGTGTCCAAATGGAAAACACTTGATATCTCCATATGCAACTTTTATGGAGGTGCATATGGTAAATTGATATTTCACAACCAAAAGAGAACAAGTTTTAGAAATTTCTGAAACTATTGCTTTAATATGATTGATAGAGTTTGTGTCCAAATGGAAAACTCTCTGTATTGGTACGGCAGATCTTTTTTTTACTAGAACTATCTGACACGTCATTTATGAATTTTGCTATTGCAGCTGCATACTTTTCCAGAAGGAAAAGTTTATCAAGATGATGCACCTATAAGGCGATTGAAATGGGGAACTGCTAGTCTTATTGTCCGTGCACCTATAACTCCAATTGTATTACCAATTATTCATCATGGCTTTCACGAGGTAACTTACAGCATTCCTCTTTCCTCCATACCTTTAGAGTTTTAGGGTTGTCTTCTGAACCATTTTTAGCTCTTTAATCAATCTTGTTTGTTATAGTAAGAAAGCCTCTAACGTAAGTCATTGTCTCTAGTTGTTAAGTATTTGGAATTGGAGCATTTGAATCTTGTAAATCAGCGATATTTTCTTACAAGGAATACAGTTTTAGTATTACCAGTAAAATTAGGTTGCAAGATAATCATTTTAATTAGAACTTGGAAGATAGTAATGAACATGTATCAATGTTTAAATGGCTAAATGAAAAGTTAAACAAATGAGCCTGTAAGCCTTGATATATGTTCTGTCGTTTTCTAATAATAATTGGTATAGTAATTTACACATTCTAAGTTCAATCTTGCCAGGCTCTTTTTCTCAATGCTTACTTTCTTCTCAAGGATTTCAAGACATTATAAATATGTCATGACAAAAGGCTTATATTTTAATTTAATTTATAACCCTACTGGGTTTTATAAATTCTTGTTACTATCCTTTGCAAGAGATTAGAGAACAAAGGATAGCTACTTGCTAGAATTTTTTTAAGGAGCAATTCTTGCATGAGCATGTGTGGCAGTTGAACATTGACCAATCAAAAGGTTAAGATAATGTTATTAAAATAACTTCAACAGCACAAGTTTTGAGCTTATGATTAGTTATCTAATAGGCACTGTGCTCATAGTGGCGTGTACAAGAATTCGTCTCCTCTACATTATGTAAGACTGGATCTGTAATTGTCTTAATGCTACTGGTGATGTATACATTTGGAAACTTGAGTGATCTCGAAGATTTCTTACTTCAGTTTTCCATATTTTTTATGTACTGCTTAAGAGATTCAATTCTGCCATTGCAGTTATGCTTCTTTTGTCCCAAGAATGCTACATATGCCTAACCGTTATTTTGCAAGTATCTTCATCATTGTCTCTTTGCATGCTTTTGGTCTATCACATTCTGGCGTTGTGTGCTTTTGGAATTTAATTTTGTAGTTTTAGTATGCTTATTCTGGTTTTTAGTGCCTTGCTTATATTTCTAGGTGATGCCAGAGAAATATATGTTTGGTAGAAGGCCTCCTTTACCGCTATGCAATAAGAAGATCAACATTATTATTGGTGATCCAATTGAATTCGACCTTCCAGCAATAAGTGAAATGGCTATTGCCCAATCTCGAAATGACTCCTTCCCTACTTTTGGGTGGCCCCGAACTTCCAATGGTTTGGATGAGGCTGCACAGCGATATCTGTACACCACAGTTTCAGAGAAAATTCGTGCTGCCATGGAGAAATTAAGGTGCTATGGCAAAAGTTTTCTGAAGTCATAGATTGAATCCCACCTAAGCCTTTTAAGATGTCTAAGATGTCACAAATTTGTTCACTGTAGTGTGTCATTTGTTGTTCTTAGAAGTCAAGTTGGCAATAGAATATTTTAGTTTTGTAGGGGTCATGGCCCATGGGTACCCTCCATTTACAGCCGGAAATTAGACGGGCTACCCTCCATTTACAGCCCGAAATTAGACGGGCTAATACTTGAATAATCATTTTTTCAGAGAAGTTAAACAAGTTTTACCTCAATCCATTCCTCACATGTATGTAATTTTCTCATTTGCATTTAATAGTAACTTGTGAGAGCCATAAATAAATGTGATTCGCATTTTACGTGCCGATGCGATTCGAGCAGACCTCATTGTTCATTTATTTCTGTAATGTTAAAACCTTATAGTACATAATCTCATAGAATGTCATATTCTCCTTGGTTATTAATCCACATGGTACTTGTACTGTGTAGCCTTCTTTTGTGGTCCAGAACAGCAATTATTGTTTTGTTGATTGGTTAGCAGAAAAAAGAGTGCAAGGGAAGCATCATTCATTGGGGAATGGCCCATTCATTGATTGTCATCAGGCTCTGATTATGCAACACTGATTACCTCATTTTCAAAGTTGAACTTTCTGCATGTGATACAGTTTACTTAACAATAAAAAGTTATGGCTGACAGTGAGAGGTAGGATTGATTGCACAATGAAATTTCCCTTTCATATTGTTTAAAAAAATTATTAAAAAAAAAAAAAACTCTTCGGCGAAGTCTCATAATGGTTCTATACTAAATTGTGAACTTAATGAGATTTTACTCTATAAAAAGATTTTATTTACCATATTTAAGTGTAGATTTTAACACGCAAGGTTTTAATGGAAATGACAATCATTACAACTAGAAGAAGTTTCGCTAACCAAAACAAAATTCTCAAAGGGATTACCAAACTGCCTTTGCCAACAACTATTGGTGATTTCAATCAAGTTTGGCTTTTATCTCATTTGGTCCACCCAATTGAAGAGTGAAGACTTAATAACGTTTCTCATCAACTTTTTCATGCTTGTCTTAATTGTTAAAGTAGACCCTTTTGGATATCCTCTGTTGGTGTAGAGTAACTTCAAAGTTTGGCTTTAGTGTTTTCTTAGTATGTTGAAACAAGTGATTATTGCTCCATGTAGTTCAATGGGTAAGAAATATTTAGCTTAGTTGCTCTTGTGATTATTGCAAAAGTTGCTCACTTTGTAATCATCACAAGATAAACAATTTTGCTTTGAGGGTGGTGTTCACTACCTATACGTGTAGTGATCGCACATCATGTAAAAATACAAAAATGTCCGTCATATTATTTGAAAATTAAAATTTGGATGCATCCATTTTACAACAAAATCATAAGTTTTACGAATGTATCAATCTCACTTTGTCAATCTTCATCTTTTAATTCCATATCTTTGATGTTAGTAGCTTTAAATACAATAATTTTCCTCTTCTTTTTGTTATCTTCTTCATCATCAACAATTTTTTTCAGCTCCATCTCATGTTTCCGCAATTACCAAAGAGTGTGTGTCCATGGTTGCTAAATTCTTATACTCACAAATCTTAATGACTTTAGGTTGTCAATTACGATTTAGGCATCTAACAACTTTTATAACCAATTTTTCATTTGAAAATATTTTTCCTAGAAATCACATATGACTTACGATATAAGTAAATTGTATTTGCATCTAGTTAATGTTCTCTTCAGATTTCTAGTTATACCCTACAAATACCTGATTATTGTATTACTTGCTTAATTTTATGTGGATACATAAGTCAAGACCCACAAGTCAACCATTCAAAGTACCAAGATATCACAAGGGTTGGGTCTGATAGTCCTCATCGTACAACTTGAAACAAATGTTATCTAGCACGATGCAGTCAAGTGCAGTTCAGAACGACTCAGTCGTCTGATTTTTCTGAGTGGGAAAATAGAACAGGCATGTGGAAATTCGTCAAAGTAGTCTTTAACATATTCCCAGTCACAGAGACGTGGAAAATGTTGGTGGATCCATGTTTGAAAATGGTTCTGATGAAATATCAAGAACAATTTAGCACATGTATTATGAAATCAATATCAATAAGGATGAAAAAAATTATCGTAAATATACAATTATTTTTGTTATATTGTATTCCATTGACTATCTTAAACCAACTTGGAGTATTGCCAAACAAGATGCCCCCCAATTGTACTCACGAATCCTCTCCAAATCAATGAAGTATATATTGTACACTATGTCAATATAGATCACACTTTTATCCATAAAAAAATGATTGTGTTAGCCAAAATTATGAAGTATGACCTAAATGCACATACACTATAATATGCAACATGTGCATCATCACCCTCAACATCCACAATCACATTTAGGTGGTCAACATAATTCTTCATAAGAAAAGAAAATTTAGCATGACATCATCTAGTATCATTTATCTCGTGTTGGGCATCATCTGGATCAACTCCTAAATATGTCATTGTCAAGTCCAATGCCTCAAGTAAACTAATTTTAGAGTGATCTAATAATCTTCTTCTGATCGGAAGATATATAAAGGATGATACATCATCAATTGTGACAATCATCTCACTGGTCAGAAGATGAAATGACAATGTCTATGTGTGTCATCTCTTAACAAACACAGACAATAAACCATGGTTAATATAACCATATCTAGTTCTGCATAAATTCTTCAACTCAGATAACTACATGACATCTAGGAGTGGAAATAGGTCAGGCCGTCTAATAGGGGCATGTACTAGTTTTTTTTAAATAGAAAAGGTCTAAGCTTTGTTATAAGTCTATTTAGTTAAAATGGCTAGACCTCAGGCCATACAAATTTTTTTTAAGCCTATCAAGCCGACCTATTTAAATCAGTATGAATAATTTTTTTTATCATTATGTTATGTTTTGTATTTTGAATTAAAATACATAAATAAAATTTAGTTATCTTGGAGAATTTATGAAAATAAGATGAAAACACCTTATGAACAATGTCATAAGTTGTTTTCATAAGTTCTCTTAAATAAATAGTCTCACAAAATTTGTGTTAATAGGTAAGTTAAAATAAGTCGATGCAAACAAAATTTTAGTCTCATTGGTTTTTTTTAGTTTGTTAGTCTATTTAAATATTATTTGAGTTGCTTATTTACGTAAGTCTAAAATAAATAGGCTTTTATGTAAGCTAACAGGCTAACCAGACCTTCGAAAAGGTCAAACTCATACCTAAAAATAAGTCTATGACAGGCTACAGGACATGCTTATGCTTCAGTTTTTTGGGCAAGACAGGCTTAGGCTTGACAAAGTCTAACTCGGCCCAGCCTATTTGCACCTCTAATGACATCCTAAAACCATGGTTCATCAACTTGCAGTAGCTTTGCTACCTTCCTGCCATGGTTGATACATTTCAATGTCTCATGGTACTGCAAAAATAAATACATTATCGTCAAACACTTCAATTTTTACAATATAGATGTTTAACACAAACAATTCAATTATTTATGTTACATGTCTCTTCCCACATGTGCATAACATGATTTGCATATATAGAAATCAGTGATAGGTCTGAAGGGACTCCCGAAACACTATCATGCATGATAGCATCACATACAACAACAAGTACTGGAGCAGTAGGGGCTTTGTAATGAGCTAGAGACATATGACCCCAGGAAGAAAATCCCTTAGTAGTAAAAGAAGATTCTCCAACCGTAGATCGTGAGGGTTTAGCTTTCTCCCAACACACTGAATCATTTTTGGTCATTCTTCCATGTCAAAATATTTGTTAGTTGTCACCTACTTTTCCTATCATCAAAGAATAAAATGCATATCCTAATCAAAGAAGGATGCAAAATAGAGAGATCTAGATTTGTTATATTGATTAAGGTGTGGGTGTGAGTGCACCTAAAAGGGGGTGAATTAAGTACTTTTATTGATTTTCGATTTTAATGAAATGTTACTTTAACTTTATGGTTCAATGGTGATTATGGAAGCGGTAAAATTCAGAAAAGCAAAGAACATCGAGGGATTATACTAGTTTCTCTCACAATCCAAGAGTACTTCTAGTCCTCTTACCACATGTAAGATTTCACTATTTATTAGAACCTTGTATAAGCCTAATCCTACCCTTTATACACAAGTTACTAACTAAATCAATAAGAAACACTCCCTTATGATTTCTCAAAGTAGAAAAAGAAAACAATCATCACTTTTTCACTCTCTTGTTTCCAACAATCCTGGATAATAAGGTATACTCACAAATCTAAGTTCTGACAAGAAGTTTGGATTTGTAAGATATTTATCAATTGCTTGAATTGATCTTCCCTTTCAAGTAGACAATTCACAAGTATGTTACACAAGTGCTTAGATGAGAATTGATGAAACTTTTGATTGAATGCAGTGAAAATAAAGGCAGAAAGTTTCATTCAAAAACTTATGACACAAGGCACTTGTTTTTAAAAAGTGAAAGATGACTTTGAATTGTAATGAAAGAGGTGACTTTTTAAAATCTGAAACCTTAGATATTTATACATGAATAATGCCTGTAGGAATAAGTGTAATACCATGAATAAATGCATTGATTGGTAGATGAAGTTTAGAACCCCTTAGAATCAGATTCTCTGCCAAAAAGTGTCACGGGTTCATTGGTAACCGGCTAACACATTATTATAACTGATTACAACTAAAGCGTTTCATGAAAATTAAGTTTTTTTCGAAGGTGCAACTAGTTACAGGAAAGGGTTAACCGGTTACACCTGATCCATTTTGAAAAAATGATTTAATTTCGTTTGTGTAACCGGTTAACAATATAGTGTAACCAATTACACCTAATGCATAAGTGAAAAATACCATAAAAATAATTGAGATGCAAAACCAATTTATATCAAAAATTATTTTATGCATCAAGATAAGTTAATAAAGATAATTCTGAGCACTATGGTAAACACATGAACAAATTGTAACTTGTACCTTTAAAGAAGTGATCAT